GTGTCTGTCAGGTGTCTCTCAGGTGAGACAACAGGCATCTCTCAGGTGTCTCTCAGGTGAGACGACAGGTGTCTGTCAGGTGTCTTTCAGGTGAGACAGCAAGTGTCTCTCAGGTGTCTTTCAGGTGAGACAACAAGTGTCTCTCAGGTATCTCTCAGGTGAGACAGCAAGCGTCTCTCAGGTGAGACAACAAGTGTCTGTCAGGTGTCTCTCAGGTGAGACAACAGGCATCTCTCAGGTGTCTCTCAGGTGAGACGACAGGTGTCTGTCAGGTGTCTTTCAGGTGAGACAACAAGTGTCTCTCAGGTGTCTTTCAGGTGAGACAACAGGCGTCTCTCAGGTGAGATGACAGGTGTCTGTCAGGTGTCTTTCAGGTGAGACAACAAGTGTCTCTCAGGTGTCTTTCAGGTGAGACAATAAGTGTCTCCCAGGCGTCTCTCAGGTGAGACGACAGGTGTCTCTCAGGTGTCTTTCAGGTGAGACAACAAGTGTCTCTCAGGTGTCTCTCAAGTGAGACAACAGATACCTCTCAGGTGAGACGACAGGTGTCTGTCAGGTATCTTTCAGGTGAGACAACAAGTTTCTCTCAGGTGTCTCTCAGATGAAACAACAGGCGTCTCTCAGGTGAGACAACAGGTGTCTGTAAGGTGAGACAACAAGTGTCTCTCAGGTGTCTCTCAGGTGAGACAAGTGTCTCTCAGGTTTCTCTCAGGTGAGACAACAGGTGTCTCTCAGGTGAGACAACAAGTGTCTCTCAGGTGTCTCTCAGATGAAACAACAGGCGTCTCTCACGTGAGACAACAGGTGTCTGTAAGGTGTCTCTCAGGTGAGACAACAAGTGTCTCTCAGGTGTCTCTCAGGTGAGACAAGTGTCTCTCAGGTGAGACAACAGGTGTCTCTCAGGTGTCTCTCAGGTGAGACAACAGGCATCTTTCAGGTGTCTTTCAGGTGAGACAGCAAGTGGCTCTCAGGTGTCTCTCAGGTAAGACAACAGGTGTCTCTCAGGTGTCTTTCAGGTGAGACAGCAAGTGTCTCTCAGGTGTCTCTCAGGTGAGACAACAGGTGTCTCTCAGATGTCTCTCAGGTGAGACAACAGGCATCTCTCAGGTGTCTCTCAGGTGAGACAGCAAGTGGCTCTCAGGTGTCTTTCAGGTGAGACAGCAAGCGTCTCTCAGGTGAGATGACAGGTGTCTGTCAGGTGTCTCTCAGGTGAGACAACAGGTGTCTCTCAGGCATCTCTCAGGTGGACAGGTGGACACAAACACCTGGTGGGCCCAACATGGATCCCTGGAGGACTCCAGAGAGACAGGAAGTCAGGATGTCTCATGTCCTGTGAGACAACGCCGTCCCCGAGGCTGCTGGGAGTTAATCAGATCATCTATTGATCTCAAGGTGTGTGTGTGTGTATGTGTGTGTGTGTGTGTGTGTGTTTGCAGGCAGACAGGAATGGGATTTGTGTCAACCATGGCAAGAGTCGGCAGTATGGCGGCCCCCGCCGTCCTAATCCTGGACGAGGTGATATCACTGATCTGAACCTCATCAAAAATCAAACATATTGATTATTGATTAATGATTCAGAGACATATTGTTCATCAGAGATCAATCAATATGAATCAATAAGGAACTGATCTTCATTCAGCTTCACTTCCTTCCCCTGTAATACGATGTTCTTCCGTATTAATATAATCAATCTAATTATTGTTCAGAGGATTATTATCAATGATTCAGAGTTTTGTCTCACATACATGATATATTTACTGATATAAAACAGCGAGAGACGATCTATAAAAGCTGATCGGCTTCTACCTGCTCTGTAATCAATCAGTCAATCAATCAATCAATCAATTTTATTTATAAAGCCCAATATCACAAATCACAATTTGCCTCACAGGGCTTTACAGCATACAACATCCCTCTGTCCTTATGACCCTCACAGCTGATCAGGAAAAACTCCCCAAAAAACCCTTTAACGGGGAAAAAACAAACAAACAAAAAAAACAATCCATCTGATTCATCATCATCATCATCACGGTCATCATCATCACCATCATCACCATCACCATCGTCCCTCTGCCCATCTATCTCAGATCTGTATCTGGTCTCAGCTGACTGCAGTAAATCCTTGCTAACAGAGGTCACGGTCAGCGTCCACTCTCAGGTCACATGACTCTGCAGTACTCACAGGTGTTGATCAGCTCTGATCGGCGGCGATGGATGCTGCAGGGCGTCTGTCCAGCAGTGACTTAGATCATTCACACCCAATGTTCTTCTGTTACCAAAATTCTTTATTTTTCTTATTATTATTTTTCCGCCGCTTTTTTCGACATCAATTATCTTCAACATACTTCAACTGATTCAAACCATTCAAACGTCTTCTGATTCAGCTTCATTAGGACATTATCGGAAACTTTCAGATTTTTCCATAACGTTCATACCAATTCAGCGTTAAAATTCCGATTCCTATTAAATCCCATTCAACGAAAATGGTTTGACTGCTACTAGTTCCACAAACTTCAACCGATTCAAACCATTCAAACATGAAAAAGTTCAACTGAATTAGGACAAGACCAGAACGACTCTTCACATTCCTAACATTCATACTTTCCCAGATATTCACGATTTTTCCCAAATCGTTTTTCCAATGGGAATGTATTACGGAATCCTCAAAAATCTAAAAATTTCACCTTTTTTCAAACTGTAAGTACCGATTCATACTTTCAGCTAGAAACTCCATTCAAAATGGAAAATATTCATCATTTTGCTGACATTTTACAGATGATTCAACTTTTCAATCCCATTCAAACTTTCAAAAATATTCAGCGTTTTCTGAAACTTTGTTATAATGGAAGTCAATGAGAAAATCCTTCAAACTCACTCATCTTCACCCACACATCACGAATTCATACATTGATGTAGAAACTCCATTCCAACTCTCAAACGTTCACGCTGCCGTCGACTTCGAGGAACTAATTCAATTTCTACAAAGTCAGTTTAAAATACATGAAGTTTTCAGACTTTATAATGGGTGTGTATTGCGCAGCTGTAAACTCGTCAAGAAATTTTCTCTTCAACTCGCTCATACGGCCACAATTTTCACTGAACATACACAATTTATACCACAAAACGTAGGAAAATTTGTCCTGCTCACAGATATGTTGACATGGAATCTCTCACACGTACACATTTTTGCTGAGCGGCTCCAAAGCGAAGGGAGCGCCAATTTTTTTTTTTTCATTCACTCCCATGTAAACTCAGAGGAGAAATTTCTGGAAAACAGCTGGGGTGCAACACATTTTAAACTCGCTCCTGTGACCACATTTTTGACTCTACAAATATAAAACATGACACGTGCGTTCAAGAGAAGTGGCTCTCTCTCACTATCACTTTATTTTCATGATTGGACCAACGGTTTGGGTATGGGAAGAACTTGTTTGAGAAACTTCAAACCCATTATAAACAGCCTTTGCTGATCTGCTCTCTCATGAGCTCTCTGTCTGTGTGTCTCACAATCTTTAAAGGACAGATTACAGCAGCAGAAACTTCATTTGAAACAGCAAATACACATTATTAACCCTTAAAGTGCCAAAATGGGCTCTCTAGCGCCACATAGGTGCACTAAACTGGCCACTGCATCCCGTAGGAATGTCGTATCAAGATCAAACCAAAACTGGCGTGTTCGACCTACAAATCACGTGCTGACACCCATGACCTAAATCTAACAGGAAGTGAGCTATTTGACCTTTCAAAGTAAGATTTTGCCTCAAACATGCTCTTAAAAAAAAAACATCGCCTCCTACACCGTTTATTGTATCGGCTTTAAAGACACACACACATGCCACCTCAACTGCTGCTAAACAGATCTTCTGTATAACTTTATCAAAAGTTTGGGAATGGGAAGAACTTGTTCGAGGAGTTAAATCTCCACTAAAACAGGTCTCTTCTCTGTGTTCTGTCTCTGTCTGTCTCTGCTCTTCTGCCAGGAGCACATGGCAACCGCTGTCACACACAAACTCACAGAAACATGATGTGTGTGCGTGTCTACATCTCACATGCAGACATGACAGGGGCACAATCTCCATTTTAACCCTTTAGGTCCCAGAGTTTATTGAGGAAAATATTCCATTTTCATTTCAACATTTCAAAAGGCTGTGGCTTGAAAGTGGTGAGAGATAAAGGCATACTGTAAATGAGAAAACTATTCATCATGACCCAAAGTTTGTGATAGGAGTAAATTATCTCATCTAATTTGCATATTGTAGCGTCACTAGGCGGCGGCCATATTGGATTTCATAAATCTCAGTAAAACATTCAAATATTCAAATCATTCAAACTTTATTTTATTAAAGGCAGCATTACAGTGTGGCTTCAGCTTGCAGCATTCACACCCGCAATTTCTTCAGAAATTGCTTCTCTAGTTAGACTGAGTCTGCACAGAGAAAAAAACAAACAAACAAAAAAACTGAAGTAACCATGGAAACGTTTTCACCAGCCTCCATGTTGCTTTTCCTCTTTTTTTTTCTCTAAACTTTATTGCAAACAGGCAATAAATAGTAGCTACACCTACACAAAACTGAACAAGAACAGACACCATATTGAAGAGATGACACCATGTTCAAAAAATAAATAAATAATACAAAACACAAGATATAAGGGCATGAAAAAATAAACAAACAGCAAATAAACAGACAAAAAAAGAATTAATAGAAAGTACATACACCGAAAGTAAATTAAATAAATTAGAATTAAAAAGGTTGACTTAATAACTGTTATGCTTCATTATTCAGATAATTTTTGAACATTAAATAGAGATCTTTGGCAAGTTTGGACTCCATAAATTTTAGGGCAAATTGAAAAGTTGTCACTTTTTCCTTGCAGTCCTTGATTTCTTTTAAGTTGAAATCTAGACTTTCAGCCAGATTGGCAATTGCAAGTGTGTTTTTGTTGAGCCTGGAGTTAAAAATTTCTACCATGGAAGTTAGACTTTTCACAGCCTCTAAAATGGCAGTGTTAGATACCTCATCTTCTCCATCGCGGTCAGAGGAGGGACAGTCATCATTTGATTTTCTCCTTCTGTTCGGCCCCGGGATCTTTGTTGTTGTTTCGCGGTTCCGTTTGTTACCCGAAGTGCTAGCATTGGTTTCCATGTTTGAGCTAGTAGTGTTAGCATAATCATGCACGTCGAGCTCTTTCTTTGCAGTAGTCGTCATTTTCGTGTCTTTCTGGTCGGTGAAATAACACATAGAATGTTAGTAGTTGGTTTGTGACTGATGGACTACATTTCCCAGGTGTTCCCTGCTCTGCCCAGTGTGGTATATGGGGGGGCTGCAGTGCTGGCCGGCTGCTTTGCCTGTTTCCTGCCAGAGACGCTGAACGTGCCACTGCCTGAAACCATCAATGACGTGGAGGAGAAATGGTGAGCTAACAGCTAACAATTATTATTATTCATTAGTAGTGTTAGCTTCATCATCAGTGTTAGGTTCATTAGCAGTGTTAGCTTCATCATCAGTGTTAGGTTCATTAACTGTGTTAGGTTCATTAACTGTGTTAGGTTCATTAACAGTGTTAGGTTCATTAGCAATGTTAGGTTCATTAACTGTGTTGAGTTCATTAACTGTGTTAAGTTCATTAACTGTGTTAGGTTCATTAACTGTGTTAAGTTCATTAGCAATGTTAGGTTCATTAACTGTGTTAAGTTCATTAACAGTGTTAGGTTCATTAACTGTGTTAGGTTCATTAACTGTGTTAAGTTCATTAGCAGTGTTAGGTTCATTAACTGTGTTAAGTTCATTAACTGTGTTAGGTTCATTAACTGTGTTAGGTTCATTAACTGTGTTAAGTTCATTAACTGTGTTAGGTTCATTAACTGTGTTAGGTTCATTAACTGTGTTAAGTTCATTAGCAGTGTTAGGTTCATTAACTGTGTTAGGTTCATTAACTGTGTTAAGTTCATTAACTGTGTTAGGTTCATTAACTGTGTTAAGTTCATTAGCAGTGTTAGGTTCATTAACTGTGTTAGGTTCATTAACTGTGTTAGGTTCATTAACTGTGTTAAGTTCATTAGCAGTGTTAGGTTCATTAACTGTGTTAGGTTCATTAACTGTGTTAAGTTCATTAACTGTGTTAGGTTCATTAACTGTGTTAGGTTCATTAACTGTGTTAAGTTCATTAGCAGTGTTAGGTTCATTAACTGTGTTAGGTTCATTAACTGTGTTAAGTTCATTAACTGTGTTAGGTTCATTAACTGTGTTAGGTTCATTAACTGTGTTAAGTTCATTAGCAGTGTTAGGTTCATTAACTGTGTTAGGTTCATTAACTGTGTTAAGTTCATTAACTGTGTTAGGTTCATTAACTGTGTTAGGTTCATTAACTGTGTTAAGTTCATTAGCAGTGTTAGGTTCATTAACTGTGTTAGGTTCATTAACTGTGTTAAGTTCATTAACTGTGTTAGGTTCATTAACTGTGTTAGGTTCATTAACTGTGTTAGGTTCATTAACTGTGTTAGGTTCATTAACTGTGTTAAGTTCATTAGCAGTGTTAGGTTCATTAACTGTGTTAGGTTCATTAACTGTGTTAAGTTCATTAACTGTGTTAGGTTCATTAACTGTGTTAGGTTCATTAACTGTGTTAGGTTCATTAACTGTGTTAGGTTCATTAACTGTGTTAAGTTCATTAGCAGTGTTAGGTTCATTAACTGTGTTAGGTTCATTAACTGTGTTAAGTTCATTAACTGTGTTAAGTTCATTAGCAGTGTTAGGTTCATTAACTGTGTTAGGTTCATTAACTGTGTTAAGTTCATTAACTGTGTTAGGTTCATTAACTGTGTTAGGTTCATTAACTGTGTTAAGTTCATTAACAGTGTTAGGTTCATTAACTGTGTTAGGTTCATTAACTGTGTTAAGTTCATTAGCAGTGTTAGGTTCATTAACTGTGTTAGGTTCATTAACTGTGTTAAGTTCATTAACTGTGTTAGGTTCATTAACTGTGTTAGGTTCATTAACTGTGTTAGGTTCATTAACTGTGTTAGGTTCATTAACTGTGTTAGGTTCATTAACTGTGTTAGGTTCATTAACTGTGTTAGGTTCATTAACTGTGTTAGGTTCATTAACTGTGTTAGGTTCATTAACTGTGTTAGGTTCATTAACTGTGTTAGGTTCATTAACTGTGTTAGGTTCATTAACTGTGTTAGGTTCATTAACTGTGTTAGGTTCATTAACTGTGTTAGGTTCATTAACTGTGTTAGGTTCATTAACTGTGTTAGGTTCATTAACTGTGTTAGGTTCATTAACTGTGTTAGGTTCATTAACTGTGTTAGGTTCATTAACTGTGTTAGGTTCATTAACTGTGTTAGGTTCATTAACTGTGTTAGGTTCATTAACTGTGTTAGGTTCATTAACTGTGTTAGGTTCATTAACTGTGTTAGGTTCATTAACTGTGTTAGGTTCATTAACTGTGTTAGGTTCATTAACTGTGTTAAGTTCATTAGCAGTGTTAGGTTCATTAACTGTGTTAGGTTCATTAACTGTGTTAAGTTCATTAACTGTGTTAGGTTCATTAACTGTGTTAGGTTCATTAACTGTGTTAAGTTCATTAGCAGTGTTAGGTTCATTAACTGTGTTAGGTTCATTAACTGTGTTAAGTTCATTAACTGTGTTAGGTTCATTAACTGTGTTAGGTTCATTAACTGTGTTAAGTTCATTAGCAGTGTTAGGTTCATTAACTGTGTTAGGTTCATTAACTGTGTTAGGTTCATTAACTGTGTTAAGTTCATTAGCAGTGTTAGGTTCATTAACTGTGTTAGGTTCATTAACTGTGTTAAGTTCATTAACTGTGTTAGGTTCATTAACTGTGTTAGGTTCATTAACTGTGTTAAGTTCATTAGCAGTGTTAGGTTCATTAACTGTGTTAGGTTCATTAACTGTGTTAGGTTCATTAACTGTGTTAGGTTCATTAACTGTGTTAAGTTCATTAGCAGTGTTAGGTTCATTAACTGTGTTAGGTTCATTAACTGTGTTAGGTTCATTAACTGTGTTAAGTTCATTAGCAGTGTTAGGTTCATTAACTGTGTTAGGTTCATTAACTGTGTTAAGTTCATTAACTGTGTTAGGTTCATTAACTGTGTTAGGTTCATTAACTGTGTTAAGTTCATTAGCAGTGTTAGGTTCATTAACTGTGTTAGGTTCATTAGCAGTGTTAAGTTCATTAGCAGTGTTAGGTTCATTAACTGTGTTGAGTTCATTAACTGTGTTAAGTTCATTAGCAGCGTTAGGTTCATTAACTGTGTTAAGTTCATTAACTGTGTTAGGTTCATTAACTGTGTTAAGTTCATTAGCAGTGTTAGGTTCATTAACTGTGTTAAGTTTATTAGCAGTGTTAAGTTCATTATCTGTGTTAAGTTCATTAGCAGTGTTAGGTTCATTAACTGTGTTAGCTTCATTAACAGTGGTAGGTTCATTAACTGTGTTAGCTTTATCACCAGTACTAAAGACTCTGTCTATGATCACTGAGTGATGCTAATGCTATCAGGCTGCTGGGCCTTATTGATAAGTAATAAATCAATATTGATAACTTAAACTCTCTGTGGTGTGAAGGTCTAGGTTACGCCCCGCCCCCAGACGGGAAGAAGGCGTGTCTTTAAAAGAGGGTGGTGACTCGTGTATTGGGGGCGTGGTTTCTGCTGAAAGCGTTGCTTTAAAAGAGCTGAAGGAGGCAGAAGGGATCGGACTGAACGCCCTCTGAACAATTAGATGGCTGGACAGATCTTGGACCAATCAGATGGCTGGACAGAAGCTGGACCAATCAGACAGCTGGACAGAGCCTGGACCAATCAGACAGCTGAAGTCGTTAATAATGAACCAGTGAGAATCAGATGAATGACAGGTCTCACTGGAAGTAGAAATTAATTAGATAAAACGTTTCAGATGTAAACATCTTCTGATCAGTCTGATTATTGATTATTAATCAGATGTTTGTTCACAGCAGCAGTGATGTTTAGTTTCTGTCGATCAATAACCGACCTAATAAAACTGATTAATATCAGACAAGTGTCTCAGTCTTTATTTGAGGGAACCATCAGTCACATGACCAATCTCAGGAGTGGCAGGAGAGGGCGTGTCTTTAGTCAGGTGACCAGAGTCACAGGAGGGGGCGTGTCTTTCGTCAGGTGCCCAGAGTCACAGGAGGGGGTGTGTCTTTAGCCAGGTGCACAGAGTCACAGGAGGGGGTGTGTCTTTAGCCAGGTGCCCAGAGTCACAGGAAGTGGCGTGTCTTGAGCCAGGTGCACAGAGTCACAGGAGGGGGTGTGTCTTTAGCCAGCTGCACAGAGTCACAGGAGGGGGTGTGTCTTTAGCCAGGTGCCCAGAGTCACAGGAGGGGGCGTGTCTTTAGTCAGGTGACCAGAGTCACAGGAGGGGGTGTGTCTTTAGGTGACCAGAGTCACAGGAGGGGGTGTGTCTTTAGTCAGGTGCCCAGAGTTACAGGAGGGGGTGTGTCTTTACTTACGTGACCAGATCATAGACATATATACATAGACGCCGCATATGTCTATGGAGGGGTGTGCCTAAAGCGCCGCCATCTTGGTACAGGGCTAGCAGAGGTGGTAGTGCATGTGCATTCTATGGAGGAAAGAGGTACTTCACAATCTGAAAGTAGAATTATTCACTGAATTTTTGACCGGTTTGATTTGTTAAAAACGTCACATGTAGCTATGACACAGGATGCTTGGACATTTTAAATATGCCGGTTTTACTACCCAAATACAAATTCTACTTAATGTTTTCAGCAGACCAACATCTTTTTCAGTCAGAAGACTGATTTTTGTGCCGCCTATGGATGTTCAAATGTGCGTAACATACAAACCAGATCCCGTGGAATCACTTTTCACAGGTAAGGTGTACATAAGGGATAACATCAAGTGAGTAGGTTGTTAAATAGTGAAATAAACCCAGCTCCGCGTCTGGGTTCTATCCATAATATAACCAGCTCACTTTACGTTATCCCACATATTACACAGCTGCTTACTAGTGAAATAACTAATATGAGACATAATTTTGGTAAAAATGCAATGTTATTTCATCTATAAACTGCCTCTTGGTCTGAAAAAAAAACAGACCTTAGACTGCAGTGATTGACCAGTTAGAGGATTAATGATAGATATTGGATGTATATGTATATTTTATACCTACAATAATAATAATAATGATAATTGTTGTAGCCAATTTAGATTTGTGCGGCGTGTGTGTGTTTGTATGTGTGAATGTGGGTGTGTGTCTTTGGTGAGGTACTTTGGTTGCTATGGTTACCGGCACATCTGGGCATAGGTAGTAATCAGCCAGGCAGTGGTTAGATAAGGTGATTAGGATCTGGAGAAGCCACACAGTTTTTCAACCGTGCCTGTGTGTGTGACCGTCTAAATGGGTTTGTCGTATTAGTATTTTTGTCCGTTTGTATATGGGTCAGTGACAAATAAGGGTTGGCAAGATGAGCAATTCAGAAATATTTTCAAAAATAGTTTTCAAAGCATGCATCAGATTTGTTAAAATGTACATTCTGTATTTTTGTTGGTTTTATGTCATTTGAAATGACAATTGCACCATTTTTTATGAAAAGTGAGACTGAATGCTCCTGAAAATGGTGTAACCACGAAAGAATGATAAATATTAAATATTTTATCCACCTGCAATAGATTAAAGTGTACTTATAAAAAAATATTTATTTCAAAAGCATTAAATTGAAATAAGATATTTTTGAAGTATTTCTATATTTAAATTTTAATGCATTTTGGCAATAATGAGCAGGACATTTCCTAAAAACACCCCTTTTTTTCTAAATAACGTGTGAAAAGTTATGTTAGAAAACACAGTGTTGCACTGCAAAAGTGGATTAGATTCATTCCACATTTTACTCCACATTTATTTTCCTGTATATAATCATGTTTTTATGAAAAAATACCAGTTACACCAAATGACACTGGGTTGTGTCTATTGGTGTAACTGGTATTTTTCATACAAATATGATACATTGCCTGACCATGTTCCTTCTACAGTCAAACACCACTGTTTGGTGAAGGAACTGACACTGAAAATCAAATATGACAGTCAACAAGGTTAAGTGAACTTGTTTTTTTCATGTTATTTCAGTTCAGAAAAAAGATCATCTGACAACAGTGAGCTAATTTCTTTTACTGTAAATTCTTTGCTGAAAAAAAAAACATTTTACAATCATGTTTATAACCTTTGTAACTCATGTTTTGTATCTTAAGTTCTGATAAGAAAAAAGTCACCTGACAACAACTCATAAGGGTGAGCTGGTCTACTATTGTGAATACGGTTGACAAAAATTTAATGAGAGAGGAAGTTCAGAAAAAGGAACAGCTGACAACAATTAACTAATTTCTTCTACTGTAAATTCTTTGCTAACAACAGTCATTTAATTTTAAAATTTAACTCATGTTTCATGTTTTGTGTTTTAAATTCTGATTGCTCGTTTTAAGTCATTTGGCACCCGGCCTTTTGTAGGTGTTTTTAAGACTCGTTTTAACTTTTAAGACCCCATGAGGGACCTCATTTTTACACACCATCACGAGTTGGAAATGTCTTCAAATTCCTTCAAGTGGCATTTTTTGTAGCTAGATTGCCACTATAATAATGATAATAATGAGAGTGATAATAAAAATAATAATAATAATGATAACGATAATAGCAATATTAATTATAATGAGAGTGATGATAATAATAATAATAATAATAATAATAATAATAATGATAATGACGATAATAATAAATAATAAATTGATTCATTTTCGGCAGACATTTAAATATATGAAGTATCGTTTCAAAGACTGAACAACTTGAGCATCTACTGACGGACTCCAACATCGATTACCTTTGCCTCACAGAGACTTGGTTAACTCCCATAACCCCCTCGTCTGTTTTCACTGTCCCAGGATATAATGTCTACAGACGGGATAGAAGTAAAGGGAAAGGGGGAGGTGTTCTGATATATGTGAAAGACAGCATTCAAAGTCAACAAATCGCTATTCCTGAAAATAACTTGGAATGTGTGGGAGTGAAAATTACACTGTCTCCCCAAATGTCCTTTGCTGTCTGTGTAGTTTATCGTCCCCCTACTGCTTCAGATTACTTTTTCGAGTGTTTGAATGTCATCCTTAAACAACATGAAAAAATGTAAGTTATTCTTATGGGTGCCTTCAATTTAAACTGGCAGGACAAAACACGTAGAAAAAAGCTTAAATATATTGTTAAAACATTCCAAATGACACAGATGATTCACAAGCCCACAAGAATAACAAAATCTTCCCAAACGCTTATAGATTTAATTTTCGCAAAAAAACAGATAGGATTATAAAGACCTATAACCTTATTACTGGGCTATCAGATCATAATCTTATTCTGGCTGCTAGAAAATTGACAAAAGCACGCTATGGAAATCAAAATTCAGTGAGGGAAAAATCAAACATGCCTTTTATCTTCCAAAAGGACATGCCCCTCATTGAAAATGAAATAAAGCAAATTAACTGGGAGGCCGTTTACACGTTGCCGGCTATTTTCATAAACGGACATTTCACCGTCTCCATTTTCAAAAAGATCTTCGTTTACACTTACCCGTGTATATATACACAAGAGCATGCCAAACCTGTAGGTGGCAGTGTAACGAGAAGCTCAAGCCTTCCATGTATCCATTGTCACCATAGCAACATAGGTCGCACTTTTTACACAGGCGCAAGTTCCGGCGCATACTGTGACGTGGGCTGCCTATAACTCCGTTTATCTGCGTTTATCTCAGTTTACATGCAAACGCGCAACCAGAGTTTTCCAAAATCTCCACTCTGGCCGGAGTTTTTAGAAAGACTCGTTTTCAGAGGAGAAATCTCCGTGTACGTGTAAACGGCCTCTGGAGTGATACTATTGGTAATATGTCCTGTGAGCAAGCTTGTACTGATTTAATGTCAACTGTTAAAGATATTCTACTGAAATACACAAAAATAAGGGGCAAAAAAACAAATGCAAAACAAACTTTACCTTGGTTTAATAGTAATCTCTGGGAGTTAATGAAAAAGAGAGATGCCTCACTAAAAAAGTTTTTGAAATCAAAATTAAGTACTGATCACCTGATTTTTAAAAGCCTTAGAAATAAAGTCACACAACAACTTAGAAAGGCTAGAGCAAACTTTTATCTTGATATTATTCGTGATGCAAAAGGAACTGTAAGAAACTATGGAAGAGCATTGACAAGCTACTTGGAAAAGAAAAATCTACAAACAGAAGTGTAAAGCTTAAGGTGAATGGCTATATCCAGAATGATGATCATATTGTTGGTAAATGTTTTAATGATTATTTTATAAATTCAGTACAAGAACTGAGTTGGACCTTTCCAAAAACCAAACCTCCACAGTCCTTGGCCTGTGATGATTCTGCTTTCAAGCTATCCCCTATTAATGCAACAAAGGTTGAAAAAATGATCTCAACCCTGACAAATAGCTAAGCCAAAGATATATATGGTCTTGATACGGCATTTTTAAAACAACACAAGGCATCCTTTATATCACCTTTACTCATGATCATAAATAATTCTATTGATGAGAATGTTTTCCCCAGTGTGTTCAAGCCTGCCATAGTCATCCCTGTGCACAAATCTGGTGACACACAGGTAGTCAGCAACTATTGACCTATCAGCATCCTCCCAACCATCTCAAAGGTCATTGAAAAGGTCGTAGCAGAACAACTAACTTCACATCTGGATTCTAAGTCCCTTTTACATCCGATGCAATTTGGTTTCAGAAAGAAACATTCTACTGAAACAGCCTGCTGCTACTTCCTTGAGGAAATTAAAACCAGCCTAGATAGGGGAGGAGTGGTGGGAGCAGTCTTCCTTGATTTACGCAAGGCCTTTGACATGGTAAATCATGAGGTGCTGTTACATAAACTCACAAATTACAATCTCTCTATAAATGTACAAAACTGGATGAAATCTTATATATGTGGTTGACACCAGTGTGAATGAGTGAATGGTACACTATC